GTGTTAAAAAATTTTGGGAAAAACAATTACTCTGTTATTTTTATTAAAAAAAATTGTAATAAAGATAAAACATGAGCGAGGTGTGCAACATTGCAATCGGAGATAATGAGGCCATTTGCTGCGTGTAGCCATCGGTATTTAACTTCAATTACGGAAGGCGTTTGTGAGATAGAACTATTCAACCACGCGTGATGCCCTAATTGCCGCTGGCTGGAATTGAAGGCGCGTCTTACTGCGAAGATGACACGACCACGCTTCCCTCGCTGGCTCTGCATATGTTACCATAGTTTCAGTTCAGTAATAATATCAAAAAACTAAGTAACTCTTTATGCAAAAGGGAGAGAGTTGTCGAGCAAACCGTGACGTAAGTTTACAAGTGGAGGGAGGGTGGTTCTGTCTAAGATCTGTATGACGGGTGCAATACAGAAGTCTGGATTTCGGTGAAACGTAATTTACAAACTGCGTGGGACGATGTCTGTAAATTACGCCATACTAACAAAGGGGAATCACTGTTCTAAGACAGCATTGTCTCGTTCGTTTCGTTTTCTCTTGGGATTGGGAGGGGGAGGGGGGGGGGTCTTTAGAAATACGCTTTTTAGGGCTGGGAAAAGAGTGCCAACCCTGAATGAGGTATGTGAAAAAACTGCACACGGTTCTATTTTAATGAACAATGCAGCAATGTAAAAATTATCGGTGAAAATGGATTTCTACTACTAAATGGCATCCATCAGCAAGTACTTATGAAATTTTGAATGATTCTGATGCTTAAGAAATATACGATCAGACCATTAGACAATCTTCATTATTAAAGTAGGTATCATGACGAACGTATCCTCATCAAAACTTCATGCAGAATAAATTAATCGCGCTGGAAATTTCAAAGATCAACTGATGAGTGAAAAATTAGCATTTAAAATCTAGATCATCGGTTAACTCTAACTTTTTCTCCCGGAAAAATCCAAAATCAATGAGGTTTGGAATGGCTATTGAAAAACAAACTTTTACATTGATTTGACAAACTGAGATTTGGTTTTGTAACCCCCCTCCCCCCCCCTCTTCTATGATGCACAAAACTGGTTAACTCAAGACAAAAATGATTAAGCCACAGTAAAAACACTCTTCAGCTGTAAAGCACACCAAAATTATTTTTCAATCCGCTAGAGCTCAGAGCGACTTCGGTTTTCTCAGCAATATGAATGCTTGAACTGATGAACACCGGAAACACTAAGTAATATTTTCCTCATCATTTGAATCTGGAAAGATCCACCAAGTTTTACATAAAAATTCAATGAGAAAGCATGTAAGGTAGTGCTTTGTTTCATACCTGTTAGGTTGAGCTCATTACACAGGAGGGACATATATCTATTTGCTCACACTGAGAGGGTGACCTTGATGCCAATTAAAAATGCTGAACAATTTTAAAGGTGGGATAAAAATATAATCAGTCATCAAGATCTTTCAAAAGAACCTTCCTCTTATCTACTTATGTTGAGAATAAATTCTGAATAAAAATGGCTAGGCTAACAGAAAGGTCCGCAACTGCAAAATTGCAGAATAATGTTTGACTGACAGTTGATAGGTATGCAATGCATCTACCCTAAATGATAGTACAAATGAGGACTTATGTGTAACAATAGCGGTCACTGACATCCGTCATTTTTAGGGAAAACGCTTCTTCCGAATTCTGGAGCCCTCAAGAATGCTAGGTTTCAGACTTCCAGCGCAACTATTCTGCGAGATATGAACTGAAAACCATGTTACTTTTAAAAACAGCAGATATGAGAATCCACTGTTCTCCCTCGCCGACGCGGCAGAACACCGTGGAAAATCGAACACACTTGCGATAACTGCCTGCGCAACGGCCATGGGCTGCAGCTGACTCTCAAATAATGCGTATCGGGACCGTCTCGCTAGAATTGATGAGTTTTAAACTGATTTTATCATTAGTTCCTTATTTTTGTTGTGGAAGTTACTGATGGTTTAGATTTTTGTTCAATTTTATTAAATGACTAAGCATTGACATAGCTACGTTTGGTTCATTTCAATCATATCACCAGCCTTATCCTTCCTGAGGACTTAGTTTCATGCATAAAAAATGTTTTCATTAAAATAGCGGATGTCACATTTTTTTAGAATTGCTGTTATTCCTTCAATTTTCCACTTACATATAACGTGAAACGTGTGTTTTTTACAAGAAGAGTTGCTCATCATGAAAATCTTTATAAGAATCCTCTTGGTTCTGCAGGCGGCTAGGTGCAAAGTTTTGAAAACTTCAAACGCGATTTTCTCACAATGTGAAAACACGACATCCGCTTTTGTTACATATAAGTCCTCAAATGCCGAATTGCCAATTTAATTTAAAGAAAAGCAAACTTGTTTCTGAGAAATACCTAGTCAGTCATGCTAAATTGAAAGAGCAGAAAGTAACATGTACCACAGTGTACCACCTATGCAAATAACAACTGCCTTCATACACAATTGCTTACATTAATTTGAATAAAATTGAAGTTCCAACGATATTTGGATAGGTGTTTGAATGAAGATTACTTGGCGTTGCAGATTACATATTACACCTGACTTTAATCTGAAAATTGATGAGAAGGGAAAGCAATAACAAATATCTACAAGTACTAGAGCAAACTTGAAACGATTGAGATATTATAATGGATTGCAGTCAATCTCACGATGACAACAACATGAAGAGTGGCACAAGTTGGAAAAAAGTCATCTATAAAATATAAATTACTAATAAAAAAGGAGAAACTTACAAGGAGAAGAGAACAAAGCGCAAGTGGTAATGAGCTATAGAATATTGCCTGTACAGCAGGTACAAAAATCCATCCGGTTGACGACGCTCACTTGATACTGATGTACTCATCTTTCCAGCATCCATGCTGCATGTGCACTATTAATTCCTTTTTCAGATGTGTAATCCTGTCTTTTAACCTATTAACCATTGTACTTAATTCAGAATTTTCACCTTTCAGCAACTTCACTTTGTCTTCTAGCTTAGCTATGCGCTCCAACTTCCTCCGACGACACTTTGATGCTGCTAAACGATTTCGCTGGCGCTTCCTTTCTAATTTAATTTTCTCTTGGGACTCCATGTCAATTGGAGAATGAGGTGGAGTTGATCCTAAACTAGGCACCATCTGTGGTTCATCCTTGATTACTACATTGGAGAAATTTGGGGGGAAATTAGAAGCTGACGATGTTAAAGGATTGTAACTAGAATCTAAAGCCATGTAAAGATTGCTGGAACTGCTACTGCTACTGTTGGAACTACTTCTAGGTAATTCGACCATTTGCGTGTCAGCACTTTGATTGGAGTCACTATTACGTAAGGCGTTGAGAGCTTCTTGGAAACCTTGAACGTACATTTCTTGCTCCTCGGTACCTCGAGTGCACAAGATAGCGGTCGTGGTTGGTGTGGGAGTAATTAATGTATTTGAGCCAGTGAGGGATGCTTGAGATATGATAAACTTTTCCAACTCGCCATCACTGAATTTGAGCTTCTTTATGTCAGGAGATGAAAGAACTGATTGGTTTGTAAGTAACTTCTGTCTTTTACCTCCATTGTTGGCTTTGTTAAGATCCAAAGTTAACGTACGTTTCAAAACATTCATATCCCCATGAGGCACTCTCTGAGGCTGAGGAAAAGGTTGTTCTTCATAAAAAGTCATTTCCATTTTAGATTCAACTGACTGGTGCACCATTAAGGAGGTTAGACGCACTATATCACTGAATTCCGAAAAAGCACCGAGATATATGCGAATTTTCGAAGCATAAAAGCACACTAAATCGAATGATTAAACCACATTCCGGATAAACACACAACCCGTAACAGAAAATGCATGAACTCGTACAAAACACGCGAAACACACGTAGCTCACTGCACTGTTTACGAAAATGTGATAACTTGAGATGTGAGTCACGCCACGGCACAGGTTGCTACGCGCGACGCGCGGGGATGCAGAACTTACAATGAGAGAAGGTGAGACTAGTTGATAGCCACTTCTCTCTGATGACTCATCACGGGTATTTTTAGAACTGACGTCATTTTCTAGCGTTTTCATTGGTCGGCGATGACATCAGTGTATACATTAAATTGCGAGCGTTCTGATTGGTCGCGACGTCACAAACATCTGCTTCAAGCTCTCTCTCCAACTTCTATCGGTAAAAAACACTTCGCGGAATTGCCAACTGCCCCTCCCCCTCTTCCCCACCCCCGCGGCCCCTTCTCGCGTGGCGCTACCTCAACCGACTTTGCCGCCACGACCAACTCCTACTCAGCTTGCCGATTGCCGATTCTTAAACAGAATTAAACTGATAATTCAGCAGGCCCTTCACATCCGATCCTGAGACCGGTACTAGCTTCCGCTACGTACCCACTTCTATGCGGATAAGACCCACCCTCGCCC